CTGGGACTGAGTCCCACGTCAGGCTTCCTGTTCAGCAGGGAGTCTGCTTCTCCCTCTCCTTCTGTCTTCTGTCCCTCCCCCTGCTCATGCTTTCTCTCTCTCAAATAAATGAGTAAAATCTTTTTAAAAATGAATATTATTTGGGGCACCTAGAAGGCTCAATTGGTTGAACATCTGATTTCTGATTTTGGCTCAGGTCATGACCTTGGGATTGTGAGATCCGCATCAGGCTCTGAGCTCAGCATGGAGTCGGCTTGAGTTTCTGTCCCACTGCCCCTTCCCCCTGGCGTGTGTGTGTGCCTTCTCTCTCTCTCTCTCTCTCTCTCAAATAAATAAATAAATATTTTTTTAAAACGACTATTATTCAGCCATATCAACATCCAGTTTGGGCTACTGTTCTTAAACACTACCACATAAGAAATACCCACTTCTGTAATCCACACTGAAAAGACCTGTTTTCATAGCACTTCCTGCCTCAGGTAGGGCAAAGATCTTTATATCTCCAATATCTGTCACAGCTCCTAGTACTTGCTAGACACCCAGATATTTACTGAACTGAAATAACAGCAGTATTGCAATGAGTTTAAGAGGGAAAAAGTTAGCCAGTTTTTATTTTCAAAGACTTAGGGCTTCTTCTACCCTGCTGTCCTTTCCACATCCCATATGCATATCATAGCAACAGTACTATCTGCTTTACTACTTAAAGCATTTGCTACTGCCTTGACTCATTTAAATCTAAAAATAACCTGGACACCTGGGTGGCTCAGTTGTTAAGTGTCTACCTTTGGCCCAGGTCATAATCCCAGGGTCCTGGGATCGAGCCCCATATTAGGCTCTCTGCTCGGTGGGGAGCATGCTTCTCCCTCTCCCACTCTCACTGCTTATGTTCCCTCTCTCACTGTCTCTCTCTCTCTCTCTCTGCTAAATAAATAAATAAAATCTTTTTAAAAAATAAAATAAAACAATAAAAAATAGGGTGCCTGGGTGGCTCAGTGGGTTAAAGCCTCTGCCTTCAGCTCAGGTCATGATACCCAGGGTCCTGGGATTGAGCCCCGCATCGGACTCTCTGCTCAGTAGGGAGCCTGCTTCCCCCTCTCTCTCTGCCTGCCTCTCTGCCTACTTGTGATCTCTGTCTGTCAAATAAATAAATAAAATCTTAAAAAAATAATAATAATAAATAACCTAGTGAGGTCACTGTGATGGTTACAGCCATTTTACCGATAAGAAAACTGACTCAGAAGGGTTAATCTCCAGTCACCCTAGAACACTGCCAGCCTTGAAAGTCAGGGTCTTTCCACTGGGCAGTGCAGACCCTTACATCCCTACATTCATAATAAGGCCCCTGGCCATTGGTAGCATGCTGGAATCACAGAGCAGGCCAACTACAGATGCTTTATAAGCCTCTGGGTTTATTTCATTTCAAAGTCGAAGGGAAATCATCCTTTTGGTTACCCATTGTTATTAGACTGGCAGTTTTCTGGCTTGAGCAGTCAAGAGTTAAACTTACCAGTAGAGGTATAAAATAAAAGTCAGCAGTCGGTTTTTCTCAATCTCTGTGTTTTGTTGCAAACATCTCTTGAGGTAAGAAAAATTGATTCTTATGATCAAAATGCTGGGTCATGCTGTGCCCACAATTTTATTCATTTTGTTCAGAAGAAATGGGTAGTAAGCCCATTTGCTTGCTGTTCCCTATGGCTGAGCTAGTTCTGCTGCACAGCAGTTGGAGAAATTCAATTCAGCAGACGTTTATTGATGTGCCTTCCATGTGCCAGGCAGTGCACAAGGAGATGGAGATACAGGGATGAATACACCCCAGTCCTTGTTCTCAAAGAGTCCAGAGTATTTTCCAGGCCCTTTAATCATGACATGCAGATGCTCTTTAGGGGAGACTTTGGATTAGTTTATTTTACATTTTGGTAAAATACAGCCACTCTTAGAAAGTTACTATCTAAAATGTAAGAACTCCTTGTTGAATGTACAAAAAGAAAAAAAAAGACACACATGTTTAGAATTCAACGGCGATCGGAACTGATCTTTCACTTCAGAGCCAGCCATGTTGGTTTCCAAGTTGGGTGACATTTTTTCCCTTCCAAGACTGATAGAATCCATTTATAGGCTCTAAATAAAAGCCTGAGGATTTACACGATTGAAAGTTAACCCAGCTGCCTCTCCATGCACATTTGTCAAGTTAGCACGTCTTTGCACCCCATGCATCTATTTAAAAATGCTAGAAGTAATATGCCAACATTATGGAAGTGAGAGAAATGGAGGAAAACTGCAAAATACAGTTGTACTAGTCACCTAAAATGTCACTGCCCTGATACCAAGAGGTGGCTGTACCTTTGCACGTCAATCTCCTCATCTATAAAATTGGGAATACTTAGTGCCTTCTTTAGGAGGCTTTACCAGAACTAAACAAGTTAACAGTATAAAGCATGCACGCCCCCAAAAAGCCACAATAAATGTGTACTTTTTAGAGTAAAAACATTTTTATGTCATCTTTTTGTCTCGTTTTTCCTCTTTTTATACCAAGTTGTTTTCTTGTTGTACTTTTGTTTTCTTAGTTTCTTACTATTATATGATCACTTTCCATCTTGCTATGTATGGTTATTATAATGTTTAATGGTTGCACACTGTTTTGTGGTAGGATACGGCAGTACCATTGTAACTTATCCATTCCCCTGTTGTTGGACATTTGGGCTGCTTCCAGTGTTTCAGTATTATAAATAGTGCCTCAAGAACAGTTGTATGTATGCAGTGTATTCATTTACTTACTGGGAAGTCTCAGGCCCATGGCTTCATCTCTGTCTTTGTTGCCCTGATGCTAAATGGGGATAGAATAGGTGTCTGAGAGGACAGGGATGTGTGGATTAAATGAAGGAATACAGCAAAGCACTTGCATCAGTGCCTGGCTCTTACCAGGTGCTCAGCAAACATTACCTCCGGAACTCTGGGTCTGTTCCTTTAGGATTGCTCTATAGAGATGGAGTTGTTTCATCCACTGCTTTCCAAAGGATTTTACCAGTTTAGGATCTCAATGGTATTATGTGAAGGGACCAATTTCTCTACACCCTCACTACCCCAGGATTTAACTGTGTAACTCTCTTTCCCTTCAAAATGTAGTGAAAAGAGATGCCTGGGTGGCTCAGTCGTTAAGCATCTGCCTTTGGCTCAGGCCATGATCCCTGGGTCTGGGGATTGAGCCCCCACATCAGGCTCGCTGCTCAGCAGGGAGCCTGCTTCTCCCTCTACCCTTCCTGCCTGCACTGATTTCTCTCTGTCTCACGTTCTCTCTCAAAAAAATAAAATCTTCTTTAAAATAAAATGAATAAAATAAAATAATAGTGAAAAAATAAGTTTGTCCATATTGGGGCAGCTTGTTACAACTGGAACTCTCTTCTGCTCACTGCTCTGAACAGACCTCATGTCACAAAGGTTGGATTGCAGAGGCTGTTTTTATGTTTGTTTTCCTAAAGCTTGTAGTCCCCAGCTGCTTTCCATGAAATTGTGGTGTAAGTTGGTCCTCTGAACCTTTAAAACCCACCATATTTTATTCCTTACTGAAGTACATAGTATTGAGTATCTGTATTTTTTCTAAAACAAAGCGATAGTTTGGTCTAGTAATATCTGTTGTGACACATAATAATTTCAATGATTCCCTCCTCTCCTGCCCACCCCACCCCCCCAAGAAAATGAATTGGCAAGGGTAACCGTATGTTTGGGTTTGCCCAGTTTTTACTTATCCTGGTATGATTATCTATCACGCCCACTTCACCCTCAAAAGCGACCTAGTTCAGATGATGAATTACACTGTCACCCGATGCCTAGGAATTTGTTAGCACCCGGGGTACCTGCCTACTCTTACTACTTCACTGTTTTCCTGGATGACTTCTACCTGTCAGGAAGGTTTCATCACCGTGCTCTTACCAGCCTTCACCTGGGAGGCCCTCACATGCACCCAGCCTGTTTTGAACATGGATTAGCCCAGTAGGGCTTCCCTCAAGCTTTCACATTTCCTTTCACATTTCCTTATCTTTTTTCCTCTGCATCTTGCCGGTAACTGTCAATGGCATAAGCAGGCCAGGGCACCTCAATTTTGTGTCAGAATTGGCTCTTTGTCTTTTAGAACTGTTTATTTTGCAGCTCAATTCATCCCACAGGCAAGTGTAACATTCCTCATTTCTCACCACTTGCGATGTAAAACATGGTATCTGCTTTCAAGAATTTCATCTTAAATGTAAACCTCTTCTTACTAGGAATCTTTTTCTTTTTTTTTAAGAATATGGACTTCTTTTTTTTTTTTTTTAAGATTTTATTTATGTATTTGACAGACAGATGACAAGTAGGCAGAAAGGCAGGCAGAGAGAGGAGGAAGCAGGCTCCCTGCTGAGCAGTGAGCCAGATGCAGGGCTTGATCCCAGGACCCTGAGACCATGAACCGAGCTGAAGGCAGAGGCTTAACCCACTGAGCCACCCAGTGGCTAGGACTCTTAACGCTCGCTGCTCTTGTCCTTATCAAATATGATAGATAAAGTTCTTTATATTTATAAAGTACCTCAAAGCCCTTGCACAAACACAGCAAAGAGGTTCAAGCCGAGTAAGCAGTAGCAAGGACACATCTAAGGTGACACACAGCCACCAGCTCCATGATTGGTCACAGAATTTTGCTCACAGGATGGAAGATTATAAGTATAGGTGCATCTGCATTGGAAAAACAGAAACAAATCAGCTTCTCAATGATGATTACCTTTTGCACTTAGGTAACTGCATTTTAACCGGAATAAAGGGCTTTATGATTTGAGAGGCTCTGTTTGCCCCTGAACAAGTGCCTGCATTTCTTGGGTAATGTATTATTCACAGTTTTAAAGAGGAAAAGCAAATGATTTGAATGTGGGATGCCACCATCTTGAACTAGCATAGGGTGAATATGGGGCTGTAGTTTTGTAGGTCAGAATGTGGACTCTCAATGGAAAATTTGTTTTTCCATTTGTTTTATCCAGGTGACTTTCGGATGGTGGTTGGAGAGGATAAGACAAAAGTGTTGAATATTGTGAAGCCCAACATAGCCCACTTTCGTGAGCTCTATGGCAACATACTACAGGAGAATCCCCAAGTGGTGTATAAGATCCAGCACGGCAGACTGGAGGTAAACTGTATGTGAGAAATAATTTATATAGTTTCTAAGGCAAGAGCTATTTTAAGAGGAAGAAGGGTTAGAGCAATATGATTAGTGTGATAACATTTACAGTTTATAAAATGTATGTTTCATATGTAAACATACTAGTCCATGTATTTGGAATAATGCCAAAGGTAACATAAGAGACAAGTAATAAGAGGCCACCTTTGGGAAAGGGAACGTGGGGCTGATGTGGGAAAGGACCTGTCTTTACCATGTATATCTTTTTTGCCATTTGAAATTCTTACTATGCATACTGATTACCAGTCAAAAACAAGTGAAAATAAATTCTCAGATTCTTCATTCCCAAACCCACTTGCCTCCCGGACGTAATTACTGACAGTTCGGCATATATTCTCCCAGATCTCTTTTTGTGTGCATTTTTGTATTTATTTGTACATATACACATGTATGAAGAAGTTTGGTCTTTTTTTGTTTGGTTTGGTTTTATGTAAATGGGCTCTCACTTACATATATTTTTCTGATGCTTTTTGTTTTCCTCGTTGGGTTTATTATATCTTGGCTTTCCTTTTGATACATCAAATGAAACTTTCTTTCTGAGTATCTTTAAAAATTATATATATGTATTTTAAAGATTGCATTTATTTATTTGAGATGGTGAGAGCACGAGTGGGGCAAAGGGCAGAGGGAGAATCAGAGTCCCTGCTGAGCAGGGAGCCTGATGCAGGGCTTGATTCTGGGACTCTAGAATCATGACCTAAGCCAAAGACAGACACTTAACCGATTGAGGCACCCCCAAAAATTATATTATTAAATATTTGAAAGTAAATATTAAAGAACTCTTCCTTTGAGGAAAGTAATTTGAATTTAAGATTTTTTAAAACTCTAGAAACCACAGGGGCTCCTGGGTGGCTCAGTGGGTTAAGGCCTCTGCCTTCGGCTCGGGTCGTGATCTCAGGGTCCTGGGAATCGAGCCCCACGTCGGGCTCTCTGCTCGGCGGGGAGCCTGCTTCCCTCTCTCTCTCTGCCTGCCTCTCTGCCTGCTTGAGATCTCTGTCAAATAAATAAATAAAATCTTAAAAAAAAAAAAAAAAACCTCTAGAAACCACAGAGTTATTTTTTATGTTTAGCACAAAGAACACTGTATTTTAATGCTCTTCCTCTTCCAAATAATAGGGGCAACTAATATTATATTAAATATAGAATTAATGGAATTTTTACAACTGAAAGGGAACTTTGAAAAAAAATAGGAAGTATTTTTTTAAAAAAGAGAGTAACATGAAATGCCCAGAATTTTGCAAGTTTTTAAAATTTTTTACTTTTCTCAAAGTAATGCATGCACATGGTTTAAAAACCAAATGGGACCTCAAGGTTTATAACAAAAAGTAGCAGTTCCCTACTTGGCACCTTCCTGCTTCACAGTGCTTCTTCCCAGAGGCGACTGCTTTCATCTCGTTAGTGGTCCAATATTTACCTCCATGTTTCTAAACAATATGATGTCACTGTTATTTGTTGATTTTTTTTTTCTGTTTTATACTTTATTTTTGTCCTCCCTCTGTGAAGATGAAGATTTTTTAATCCCTTTTGTCACTCCCATCAACATGCTCTCACGGGTACATACTCGCACACACACACTTCCCTTCCCTCCTCATTCCCTCTTGTTCCACATACAGTTATTTCATAATTTTTGGTTAAGTTAATGTTTGCTATTTACATTATTGTGAAACTTACTTTTTCTTCATTGCTGGGATACACTACTATGAAATCTTCTTTCCTGTGCAAATGTGTTTTTCTTGGAGTTAATAATTGTCTCATTTTCTTCATTTGCTTAAATTTTTTTTGTACCTATCACTAATTGATACCCTCTTCCATATCTGTATAGCTTCTCTCATCATAGACCAACACATCAGGTATTTTCTGTTTCTTGTTTTTCTTGGGGGTGTTTCTTCCTGGAGCTCCGTGTGCCCTGTTCTTTCTGGACTGGTTGTTTTCTAACCTTGTGGCACGGCTCTTCTCCTGGAGCATCTTTTCGTTAACACCCTGAGGGTTCTTTCCGCCTTCTCTCCTTTCCTAGGTTTTGGTTTTCTGCATTTTTTTGTCTTTTTTCATGATTACACTTTAATTTTGGTGAAATATACCTTTTGGTACCTCTCTAACATAGGTTGCAAGGAAGGTAAATTTTTTGAGACCATGTACCTCTGCACATTCTACTCTTGCACCGATTGATAGTTTGGGGTACGTATCACATTCTAGGTTGGAAATAATTTTTCCCTCAGACTTTTTAAGTCACAATATCCTTCTTCTAGTTTCTAAGTGTTGTGTTAAAAATTTAGTCCAGTGACTTTCAGATTGCCTGTCCTTTGGATATGACCTTTTTAGCTCTCAGATACTGTTTAGGATCCTTGCCCCCTTTTTCCAGTCTTAAATTTCATGATGATTTGTCTTTGTATATGTGTTCTTCACTGTTATTCTGGCACTTGATGAGCCTTTTCAGTCTGTAAACTCTTGAGCTCCAATTCTAAGAAATTTTGTTACTTCTATAATAATTTCTTCATATCCATTTTCTTACTTTGCTCTTTCTGGAATTCCTGTTGGCTGGTTGTCAGACCTCCTGGTTTGATCTTTTTAATTTTTCTTTTCTCCTTCCTTTTTCTTTGGGGTTTTTGTTCTCCTTTCCAGAAGAATTTTTCAAATCGATCTTCTAGCACCGCTATTAAATTTTTAATTTCCTTTGTTCTTTTTTCTTATAGCATCCTGTTTTTGTTTTCCAAATGCATTATCTTTTATCACCCCTTTAGTGGTCTTCATTATAATTTTTGAAGTTTTATCTTCTTCTCTACATTGTTTCTATTTCTCTTACTGTCAGAATCTGTAGGATTTCTCCAGAGACATCATCTATTCCCTGGTTTGGAATCAGAAAAGATAATGTGCCTAGCTGCCAACTTTTGGAAAACTGAGCAAGGGAAAAGGGCTGGGAATTTTCTTTAACCCTGAAGATATTTCCAAATTCCTCGCTATGGTCTGTGAAAGCCTGCATGATCTAAGTCCTAATTGATCTCTTATCCTGGGGAAGCTTACAAGAGTAAGAGTAAGATTATGGACTGAATTGCAGTTCCCAGCACTGCTGAGGTTGTCACTGACACCCCCCTGCTCCTTCCCTTACTACACATTCCAAACTCCCCTCACCCTTATCTAGCACTTGTGCTGGGCTAGACGAGGTGGCCCAGACCCTCATCCCTAAGGCATCTAAGACCCGGTCACCTTGCCCATTTCAGGCTACGATTGCTCCCCTTTCCCTTTACCATCAAAATTGGGCAAGGGGTACTGAGAGTTGTGTACGAGCAGCTTTACCTCAGATGATCAGGATCAATTACTTCTGCCACTGTGGTGACTCCTTTCTGTGTCTGCTGGACTTTTGGCATGGGATCTGAAGAGAGCAGGTGGCAATCATACCTTTAAGTTTAAAGTCTTGAAGTTGTAGGCATGGGAGGTACATATTTTCTGAGTGGGTCCCTGGGAACAATGGGAAGCAAGGCTACTTCTTCCATCCCTTGGTTCCCAGACCTATGCATTCTACTGGTTGGGAATGAGGTACTCTGTAACAGGCATTAATTTAGGATGTGTACTGCACCCCGTTCTCACCGGGTATCATCTTCAAGCTGCTGGATCACCTGTTCCTTCATTGCTCTGTCAGGATTTTTTTTTTAATATTTATTTATTTGACAGAGAGAGAGATCACAAGTAGACAGAGAGGCAGGCAGAGAGACAGAGAGAGGGAAGCAGGCTCCCCGCTGAGCAGAGAGCCGGATGCGGGACTCGATCCCAGGACCCTGAGACCATGACCTGAGCCGAAGGCAGAGGCCTAACCCACTGAGCCACCCAGGCGCCCCTCTGTCACGATTTTTTAATGATGGAACTATTAGCATTTGGGGCTAGATAATTCTTTACTGTATGGGCCCCAGATTTCCTCTTTTTGGGAACTGCTCTATCAGTCTGGCGGCTTTGGTGAAGTATATGGTAGTTATAGTGGAGGCATGTTCCTGTGCCCGTTGCTGTACCTCTGTACCTCTTTTGCTCTAAAATGAGTCCCATAAGTGATGTTCCATGGTACAACCATGTTGGTGAAGCAGTCATCCTGTAGGCCTTGTCATGGTACTGGCTAGGTCCTATGGGCAGGAAGGGCAAACCCATGTTCAGAACATATGTTACTTCCAATTAAGATGAATTACTGTCCCTTCCCAGATGGAAGGTGTCCAATGTAGTTAACGTCCACCAAGTGGCTGGTTAGTCTCAAGAGATGGTCTTATTATCAGGTTCTCAGCATTGGCTTCTGTTGCTGTCAGGATAGACTTTAACAACAGCAATAGCTAAGTCAGCCTTGGACTAGGCAGAACCTTGTTCCCTGCCACCATGGCTGCTCCTTTTATAAGCCATTGTGCCAGAGGCTATTGAATTAACTGGCTGAATTGTTCTTTTGGTTATTGTTGATTCTTCTGTGAAGGATACTTTCTTGTGGACATTAGCAAAATACAAAGATCTTCACACTTTGTGCATGCCTCCTGTACGTCCATCCACATACCTCTTCTCCCCAGTTTTTTGTCTTTAGTCTTCCAGTATTTTTCCTTTCAGGCCTAGCCAACCAGTGAACCATGCTTCACTCCCATGGGTCTTTGTATATTCTTACCCAGGGCCGCTTTGTCCATGTAAAGTGGATGGCCGGTGTACTACCTGAAGCATACCCATTTGGGAGGATTTCCCCTCATTAGTGTCTTTCAGGGCTGTCCCTGAGTGAGGCTGTAATGCATCATTTTTGGCTTGTGCATACCAAGCCAAGTCATCCCTGGAGCAAACTCATCCTTTATCCACCACAAGCCAGTCACAAGGGAACCTCCATGTAGCCATATGCACGAACAAGTGGAGAAACAGTATGGCGTGCACTGGTGCAACAGTGCATAGTCAATGGTATGGGGCCCGGGTTTCCTGCATGCGCAGCTTACTCGTGCCCTTTGGCCTTACTTATGTTGAATGCTGGTGTACCACTTCCATCTTACAGTGGATTACTGTTGAGCCTGCCTGACCTTAACAGTTAGTGACTATGAGAGATCTTAGTTCATGGTAGACGGTTCTTGATGCATGGTCTTTTATTGCTCCACGGTTAGAAGGGTCTCATATCTGGGAGCTGATTTCAAATGATGTATTGTTCTTCACTCCAGAGGGCATGACCATCTCCAGAACCCTAGCAGTCTACATTGTGATTCTCCTACTGAGAGCCTACCACAAGCTTCCTGTGGCTTCTTTTTTTTTTTTTTTTTTTTTAAGATTTTTATTTATTTATTTGACAGAGATCACAAGTAGGCAGGGGGCTGGGGCAGGGGGAAGTAGGCTCCCTGCTGAGCAGAGAGCCCAATGTGGGGCTCAATCCCAGGACTCTGAGATCACGACCTGAGCCGAAGGCAGAGGCTTAACCCACTGAGCCACCCAGGTGCCCTGTGGCTTCTTTTTATACCAAAGATACCTTTAGCATTATGGAGTGTATATGGAGAATATGGCCCAAGTGAGGGCCTGCTTGCTGTGCTGCCTGGATCTGCTGTAGAGCTCTTTTCTGCTCTGAGCCCACACACCTGGCATCCTTTTATACCACTTCATAAATGGGTCTGAACATTACAGTCAAGTGTGGAATCTGCTGCCTCCAAAACCTGAAGAGGCTTATCAAGCATCATGCTTCGGTCTTAGCAGTGAGAGGTGCAAGATGCACAAAGTTGATCTTTACTTTGAAGAGGATGTGTCAGCATACGTCAGACCACTTGACCACCAAACTTTTCATTGATGTGGTAGACTTCTGAAACGTCATAGGGTTTATCTTCTACCCCCTGGAGTGCATTTATCTACCGGGCACTCCAATGTACTTGCCTCTGTTGCTTACCAGGTAACAGTAGCCGCAAAGCATTGATGAAGTGGGTCAGCCCAAGATTACATGGAATGGCCACACAGTCTGGTTTTCTTGGGGGATCTTACAACAGAGAATGGGAGAGTTAACAGAGCCCTGAGGCAAACATAGATATACTATTGTCTGTCTCATGAATGCGAGCTGCTTCTGATCCTCCTTCCAAATAAAGATGGAAAAGAGTGCATTCCCTAGTCTTGGCCCCATCCAGATACCTGCAGTTCTGTTGACTTGCTCTAATAGATTTACTGCATCTGGCACAGCAGATGGAACTGGGACTTCCACTTGTTTGAGTTGTGGTAGTCTGCTGTAGTCTTCCAGAGCACATTTGGATTTTGTGAAGGCCAGACTTAAAGGAAGTATGATGGAGACCATTAGCCTTCGTATTAGTCAGAGTTCTCTAAAGAAACTGAGCCGGTAGGATATATATAGGGAAAGATTTATTTTAAGGAATTAAATTGTGGAGACTAATGAGTTTGAAATGTACAGAGCATGCCAGCAGGCTGGAGACCCAGGGAAGAGTATGTTGTAGTTTTAAGTCTGAGGGCAATCTAGAGGTAGAATTCCTTCTTCCTTGGAGACTTTAGTCTTTTTTCTTAAGGCCTTTGGCTGATTAAATGAGGCCTTCCTGCGTTATAAAGGGCAATCTGCTTTACTCAGAGTCTGCTGACTTAAATATTAATTATATCTTTAAAAATACTCTTATAATAACATCTGGACTAATGTTTGACCAAGCAACTAAGCACAATAGCCTAGCCAAGTGACACAAAATCAAATATCACACCCCTGTATCCTTTAGGTGTACAGATAACACTGATACTCTGCCGTTCCTCCTGAGATGTGGTGTTTGTTGTTGTTGTTTTTGTAATCACTGTCTTGCATAAGAGGTAAAATGGCAGCTTCAGAGGCTTCCAGTTGGCCTTCCTTAGTATGACAGCTCTAAAATACCAACACAGAGTGTGCTCATTAGGACCGCTCCTGGTACCTATTGTGTAGGATCGGGATTGAACGGGTTTGAAACAAGCCCTCATCTGATCCTATGATGGCACTGTGGAACTAGGTAGCCTTTCCTGGTTGTCCCATCTTGGGGCAAAGAGGCCAGGCCTTTGTACTACTGCATTGTCCAGTCATTGGGTCCAAGCCCTCCCTTTGGCTGAGGACAAGTCTGGGAGGGACTCTAAGAGAGGGATTCAGCCAACTTTCCCAGCAGCTAGTAGAGTGGATACCTTGGCCCTTAAGCAAGGGTCTGCGTGGTATAATGCAGCATCCAGTATCCTGTGACCACGTGTGCTTTTTTAAAACATCAGCTTTATTGAGATGTAATTCACATACTATAAAATTCAGTGTTTTTTAGCATATTCACAAAGTTGTGCAACTACCACTACAGTCTAATTTTACAACACTTCCATCACTTGAAAAAGAAACCCCACATCCATTTGTAGTTTCTGTATTCCCCACCCCACAGGTGACCACTAATCTGTTTTCTGCCTCTGTGAATTTGTCTATTCTGGACACTTTGTATAAATGGAACCATACAGTGTGTGGCCTTTTCTTATCTGCTTTTAAAATGCAGTTTGACTTCCACGATTTTTTTTTTCAAATTCTTCTCCTTTATTTACCGACTCTCACGATTTAACTGAATGCTTTCACTTCCATGTTTTAATGAGAATCGAAGAGGATAATTACACAGAATTTAGCAATTATTTGAAAATGTCACCTAATGTTCTGTCTTTCAAGCAAAAATTCCAGTGCATTCTTTTCCTCAAGAGAAAGCAGTGGCAAATACTATTTTTTAACTCTTGATATTACTCAAGCCATTTTGGTATCTCTGAAATTCATAGATAAAGCCTTACAGAAATATAAGATCCTTTTGACTAATCTCAATTCTTAGCCCTAATATATGAGTCCATAAATGTTATTTCTAATATATTTTACAGTAATAGCCACATTTTTTAAAAAGATTTTATTTATTTACTGGACAGAGAGAGATCACAAGTAGGCAGAGAGCAGCAGGCAGAGAGTGGGGGTGGGAAGCAGGCTCCCTGCTGAGCAGAGAACCGGATGCAGGGGCTTGATCCCAGGACCCTGAGATCATGACCTGAGCTGAAGGCAGAGGCTTAACCCACTGAGCCACCCACATTTCTGTCCTTTATTGAAACAAATCTAAATAGAGTACAAATTCTTTGGATTTAGAATCATTTTAATGATAAATATGAAATTTTTTTTAAAAAAAACCTTTACTGGAGCCACTAGGTAATAGAACTTTGCTCTTCTTTGCATGAATTTTATAGAAAACTAGAAAATCCAGACATTAATACTCAACAAATACTTGTTATATGAAAAAAAGTGGTAGACTGAGTGAAACTAAGTGTTAATAAGAAAGTTAGTCATATCTAGAAAATCTGAATCTGAAATTTAATACATTCATTTGTCTCATTTTTTCTTACTCTTCTCTTTGTCCAATTTAAAACCTAAACATTTGTTGAAAGAATACAAGACAGATTCTTACCTGAAAAATAATGGGATGAGCCATTGAGGGCGGTGCTACTGGTTCTCACATTGACAGGCAGGCAGTGTCTACATGATTTTGTAAAAACTTAGTTCCGTGAAGTAAAGTATATTAGACTAGGAGTTAGGGAAGCTAGGTGTGGCCTTGCCTCTGTGGCTAACTTTGGATTCAAAGTAAAGTCTGTTGTGTAGTTTGTATGTTTTATTTCTGTATTTATCTTTCAACTTGATGTCCTTGGAATATGTGGGGCACAGAAACCACTGATGTAATTAATCCTCCTTAAGAAATAACGACAACTAAGTTTTATTGATGCACTTATTCATTCCTTACTCAGCCAGGGTTTTTGACTACCTACTATGTGCCAGAAGATTAAAAGCAAATAAACTTAGTCCTTGTCTTCAGTTTATTCCTACAGCTAATTAAATATGGCCTGGTGAATAAAAAGGCCCAGAAGGCAGGAGGCCCGAGGTTAGAGGTGGCTCTCTCGCAGTGGCGGTAGGACCCTGGTTGTGCCACTCAGTGCCCCTGTGTTTAAAATTGGAGAGAGTAAGTACCTGGGTTTGCTGAGCCTCAGTGCATGTTAGTAGCAGCCTCAGTTCCTTCAGCTGCTGGATGTAAGACCCATAGAAACTTCAAAACTAGAATCAGAAATTGATCGTTGAAAGAAGCTTCTGTACTTTTTTCATGTAAAAATGGACCATTATAGGAAAGGAGTTGACCTCTTTGAAGGAACTTAGCATCTGAACTCTTATGCATTCAGTTTCAGAAAGGAGCAGGTCTCCTTAGTGTGCTGCCCAGTCTAGGGAATAGGTTCAGTGTATGTTTATGTGACTTGAAAGAGAAGCCATGTGTCTTTGAATCTTTATAAAATTCAAAGAACTTTGCATAGACATTATCTTTTTTCCCCCCTTAGATAGATAAAAGCCCAGAAGGACAATTCACTCAGCTAATGACATTGCCCAAAACCTTACAGCAACAAATTAATCATATTATGGACCCTCCTGGAAAAAACAGAGATGTGGAAGAAACTTTATTGCAAGTTGCTCATGATCCTGACTGTGGAGAAGTGGTGCGACTAGGTATGTTTCTGGATTTGACGTCAAGGAAATGCTGGCCATGGGTGAAAAAGCAAACTGTGTGACTGAGATGTATTCTTTATTCTTCCTTGCCTGGTGAGATGGAGAGACAGATTGTCTCAGGAAAGAAGAAAGCACTAACAATCTGGGGTTTTTCCAAATCTAAATTGTCATTTGTTTGAAGTAGGGTGGTGAAAGTACTTCTGTTTTCAGATTCCTGGATCCTAAATCACTGTCAAAGGAGAAAACAATGTTTGTTTTGGTTCCAAGAACGTAACTTCTAGAAGTTTTTCCAAAGACTCCTCCGTGTCCTTCATGGTGGTCTGAGAAGGAAGGAGACTGGTGACATTTTTAGTGCTTTTATAACATCAGGAATACAGCTTTCACCAGCCGACTCCTGTTCAGTGTGTCTCATCAATGTGTTTCGTCAGTTCCCTCTGACATGGCCCATGTTCCACATATTACCCCAGGGCCTTCTCAGTGTTTACTCGAAAATCTTTTCTTTTTTTTTTTTTTTTTTTAAGATTTTATTTATTTATTTGACAGAGAGAGTGAGAGAGGGAATACAAGCAGGGGAAGCGGGAGAGGAAGAAGCAGGCTTCCCGCAGAGCAGGGAACCTGATGTGGGGCTCTATCCCAGGATGCTGGGATCATAACCTGAGCCAAAGGCAGACGCTTAACAACTGAGCCACCTAGGTACTCCTGTTTACCCAAAAATCTTATCTTCAGAGACCTGCTTCCCTTTGAGGTGTTTACAAGGGCTGTCCGTAAAGAAATAATCATGATTAAAAATGACTCCCTTCTCCAGATGAGCACATTCTCCTGTTTTATTGAGTAAATATTTCCAGAGCTCCTCAAGGATGCAATCTACTGGCTTAGATACCCTACCTACCCAGTGATGCATTCTCCCGGGGACCTGCCCCAGGCTATCAGGGCATGCATCCAGGTTCCCAGGTACCTGTTTCTAAAGATAAGTGAGGAGGCACATTGTTTGTTTTCATTTTAACATGATTCTGTCACAATATGATCTCCGCTGCCTTTGTGAGAGGATGGAGGACTGAGGAATGAAAGCTTTTCTCCTAGACGGAAACTTTGGGTTCTTTTTAATCATTTCAGATCTTGGAGTTGAGAACCAGCAGCCTTAACCAGATTTAAAAGTCATAAAATGACCTTTGAGGTTGATTTAATCCACCTCCTGTTTTAATTAAGGTGAGGAGGCCCAGGCGCAGAGGGGGCCAGGCATTTTCCTGAGCTCCCACAGCTGGTTGGTGACACGGCTGGTCGATGACACAGCTGGCAGCTCTGATCTCCTGGCCCTCAATCCTGATAACCCTTCCATTGTCATTCTGTGACACCAGGGCAGAGCTGGATTTGCTGGTGTTATTAGATAACTGGAAAGAGTATCTTGTTTTAGGTTTTAAACATGTGAAGATGACTAACATCTGGGGTTTTTTTGCATCTTTGTTGGTTTTCTCTCACAGGGCTTTCAGCAATTGTGAGACCTTCTAGTATGAAACAGAGCACCAAAGGCATTTTCACTGCTGGTAAGAACTTCCAAAAATCCATGGTTGGTTGTTTTTGTTTTTTTGTTTCTGTTTTTGACAAGACTTACATTTAATTCACAATGTAATGAAGGTTACAGGTAAAAAGCTACACACAAAGCGTGAAAAGGCCTATAACACAAATGTACATATTTCTATACAAAGCTTCTATCACCATTTGCTACCCTCGTCTCCTGTGTGTGTTACCTGGGCCAAGTCCTGGGTTATAAGAGCTCTCTTTCAAGAGAGGGGACAGGGAAGAGCCTCTGAACCAACACCTAAAAATGTCGTCTTAGAGACATTAGTTATTTGCAAAGTAAAATCATTTCTTTTTTGAAGATCTAGGCTTAATGTACCTGTTGGATCAAAGGCCTCAGCATTCCTGATTAAAATGTAAACCTATATCTGTATCTGCAAGTACTTCTGAAGTGCTAAATTGTGACGGTCATGAACTAGGACATAGCACTGGTATACGGACTGGCAAAACAGCGCTGTCATCAGTCCAAAACAGTCAAACCATGTGAGGTACTGTTGGAAGCCTTACTGCCCCTCTCAGTTTTCCGAATAACTCCCTGTGTGCAGGTTATCCCCTCATTTCAGGATTTATGGAAGTCACATGTGCGTATTGTTACCAAAGCAGCAGTACCTTGCCCTTCCACACACCCCCTAACCCCTGCATTTTCCCCTTTCCAGAGACAACTGCTGCTAACTCTCCTAGTGGATTGGTTTTATTTCCACTGCCAGTTTGCTAAATAGTAGGTGTATACTGCCGCTTCTCTCCTTTTCAGTTGTTGGCATCATCTGTGGACTTCTCACTGTGGCAGATTAGAATTCAGCTCTTGTACCCGCCGGGCCACACATGCTCACCCCTCCCATCCCTCAGTCCTCGGGTAGTTGCTGTGCACCTTTGGTGAAGCCAGTTGTCAGCATTTACAATGTATGACTCTCTTACTGTGATTCATAGGTGAGCCGTATCATACGCTTTTCCTTCCCTGCACGACTTTGTTTTCCCACGGAGATTGTCTTCCTCTGTCTTTTGGGAGGGATCCCCTATCTTCCCATCTCTTGTGTCTTTTACTTTTGTGGTGTATACTTGCATTTTGATGAAGCATGCCTCCAGTAACTTCCCGAGTAAGGATGCAGGGAGGCAAATCGGGAGACTACGTATAACTAGAAATCTCATTAGCTAATCCTTACAGATAATGGACATTTAAGCTGGAGATAGATTAGAAATCATTTCTTTTTTTTTTTTTAAACATTTTATTTATTTATTTGACAGACAGAAATCACAAGTAGGCAGAGAGGCAGGCAGAGAGAGAGAGGGGGAAGCAGGCTCCCCGCCAGAGCAGAGAGCCCGATGCGGGGCTCGATCCCAGGACTCTGAGATCATGACCTGAGCCGAAGGCAGAGGCCCAACCCACTGAGCCACCCAGGCGCCCCTAGAAATCATTTCTTTAAGAATTTTGATATCATGGGGCGCCTGGGTGGCTCAGTAGGTTAAAGCCTCTGCCTTCGGCTAAGGTCATGATCCCAGGGTCCTGGGATCAAGCCCTATGTCTGGCTCTCTGCTCAGCAGGGAGCCTGCTTCCTCCTCTCTCTCTGCCTGCTTCTCTGCCTACTTGTGATCTCTGTCTGTCAAATAAATAAATAAAATCTTAAAAAAAAAGAATTTTGATATCATTATTCCAATTATTTTCTCATTTGAGGATTGCTCTTGAGGTCCAGAGCCATTCTCAGTCCTTTGTGTATGTTCTTTCTGGAAGCTGGTTAGGTCTTCACTTGTCCCCAGGGCTCTGATATTTCTCATTAATATGCTTTGATAATGTATCTGTTCTTATCTACTTTACTGGGTGCTCATTGGCCTTTCATTTTGGAAACTTAGAAAATAAGAATATAAGAAATTTTTCTTTTATTGTTTTTCTTACCTTCTTCCCATCTGTTTTCTCTCTTCTCTTTCTGGAACTCCTTTTATTCAAATATTGGACCTCCATGAAGAGCCCTTTGGCTTTCTTTCTTTTGTCTCCTGTTTTTGATCTCTGTCTTTTTGCTCTGCTTTCTGGGAGATTTTCTCAACTTTAGCTTCCAACCCTTCTTGAGTATTTTATTTCTGTTATTATATTTTTAATTTTCAGGAGCTCTTTCTGTGTTCTTTTTTATTCTCTGAATGTACATTTTTATTTATTTTCTTAAAGATTTATTGGGGCACCTGGGTGGCTCAGTGGGTTAAAGCCTCTGCCTTGGGCTCTGGTCATGATCCCAGAGTTCTGGGATCAAGCCCCACATCGGGCTCTCTGCTCAGCAGGGAGCCTGCTTCCCCTTCTCTCTCTCTGCCTGCCTCTCTGCCTACTTGTGATCTCTGTCTGTCAAATAAATAAAATCTTCAAAAAAAAAAGATTTATTTATTAGAGTGAGTGTGTGCACATATGTGTGCACATGAGCAGGGGGAGGGGCAGAGGGAGAGGCAGAGAATCTCAAGCAGATTCCATGCTGAGCACAGAGCCCCATGTGGGGCTTGAGCTCATGATCCTGAGATCATGACCTGAGCTGAAATCAGGAGTCAGACACTTACCCAACTGAGCCACCCAGGAGCCCCGGAATGTATATTTTTTTAAAAAATTTAAATATTCTGTTCTTGTCTTAGAGGCTTAAGCATTTGAACATATCTTTGGATATTGCCACATTGCTCTCCGGAGTGGTTACATCAATGTATAGGTCTACTAGCAGGAAATTAGAGTTCTCTTTTCTCCCCATTTCTCTCCAACACTTGGTATTGTTAAATGACGGACTTTCCTAATTCGGTCTTTCTTTATGTGACCATCTGCTGAGCCTCTCTAATGTGTCAGCCATGCAGGATACAAAAATGAACACAACACCGTCCTGCCTTCAAGGAGTTCATTATCTAGAAGGGGAGGCAGATGTGTGAATAGAAATTTACAATACTGGGTGATAGATGGCGCAGAGGTAATACAAAGTAGGGAGTACTCTTTCAGCCTGATTCTGATCCCTGGGCTGAGATTGCCAGGAAGCAGGTATGGTCACCCTCTTACCTCTCACCCCAATGGATACCCAGCTATGTTTGGCCCCAAGGACACAGTGCTGCCCCTCCTGAGTCTTTGGAAAGATTTAGCCAAAAATTCAACAAAGATTTAGTAGCTCATGTGCTGAAGATCTTCCTACTATACAGAAGTACATAGCTTTGCATTTCCAGTTCAGATAGTTTTTTATCTATGTTCCTGCTGGTTTATCCTGGCAAGGCTGTAGATGAGGTGTTTTTGTTTGCTTGGGTGGTTCGGGCTATTAATCTGTGATTTGCATGATTGCAGCTTCTTGGGTGAGGCTGAATGCTTTAGGTTTGCCTTTCTTTCTTTCTTTCTTCCTTTCTTTCTTTCTTTCTTTCTTTCTCCACCCCCCCCCCCCCCCCATTTTGGGCTGTTTGACCCATAAGGAATTATTGGATTTATGGACTTTTTTTTTAAAGCTGTGATCATGTGTTATGGGGTTTTTAAATTTTTCTTTTCTTTTAGAAATACATATTAAAATTTTTACAGATGAAATGACAGGATGTTTGGGATTTGCTTGGAAAAAAAACATAGTGGAGGGAAGTGGGTTGGGGTAGATGACACAATATTCTCCCTGAATTGATAAATTGTTGAAGCTGAGTGAAGAAACATGAGACATGTTCTACTCTTCTTTTTAGAAATCCATCACCATCACCTCTTGACGCTTCAAAGTGAAATGAATCTTTGGTCCTCTTTCCACTTGTTATTTCCAGTGGCCAGCAGAGGGCAGTGGGTGACACACAAGCCGCAGCCGTTTTCCTGGGGCCGTGCTAGTGCCCAGTGTTCCTTCCTGCGTGTCCTCACTGCCTACTTCCCTTTCCTTTCCAAAGATGCCTTATTGGATCATGGAAGGCCAAAATAACCCGAATGTATGCAGCCTGCTCTGCAGGTGCAGAAACTGTGGAAAGTGATGGGCATCCCTTCAAAGTGTGGGTTTACTTACCTTACGCTCTGGCTTCTCTGGTTTTATGGTGCTTGTGGGCTGTGAAGTTGACCCAGGCCAAAGCCCTAGAGCCTGGGGCTCATATTCCAATATAACTACTGTGACTTGGGCAAGTTACCCAATTTTTTTTTTAGTTTTAATTTCATAGGGATAATTATACCTGCCTCACCAGGTTGTGAAAATTACATCTTATGATAAACCCATCTAGCACTGTACCTGGACTTTCTCTTTTTGGTACCATTACCTAAAAGTTTCCTGACCCCTCTTTAGAATAGGCCTCTTTGTGGGGGGCCTGGGTGGCTCAGTTGGTTAAGCGACTGCCTTTGGCTCAGGTCATGATCTCCTGGGATCGAGCCCCTCATCGGGCTCCCTGCTCAGTGGGGAGCCTGCTTCTCCCTCTCCCTCTGCGGCTCTGCCTGCTTATGCTCTCTCACTCTTTCTGCCAAATAAATAAATAAAAATCTTTAAAGAAAGAAAGAAAAGAAAAAATAATAGGCCTCTTTGCAGTGTCATATTCAGATGACGTTTACTGACCCATTAACCAGGTCTCCAACTGGAGTAAACTAGCAACGAAAGGCCCCAAGTGGCTGGTTTACTGTTTCCTTTCCCTCTGACTTCACAGCAAGTTTCAGAACCTTTATGCTTCTGCATGTTTTCCTTAGAAGCGTCTCATTGTGGTCATGGCTGTCACACTGCTCGCTTTGCTAAGGCAAGACCCTCAAAGTTCTACCTGTGTTCAGTTTTTCAGCTGGCTGATGCATCATGTGAGGGGGGAGAACCTGTGTATTTGATGGAGTTTGTATTCCATAGTAGCCATTCTCATCCCTCCCCTTCTCAACATCCCACTCAGTGGGGGTGAAAAGGAAGGTTCAGTCTTCCCCTTTAGCTAGTGAATACCTTTTATATTCAAGTTCAGTTCAGAGAGAGCACTAACCAAGGAGCTCAGCTTGGGGTCAGAAGACCTGGATTTGAGTTGTAGCTACTCATTTTTTGCTCTCTAACCCTGGCATGTTAGTTAGTCCTCCTTCCTTAAAGTGGAAGGGATACTAATACCCAGGCCGCTATGAGTTCTGAGTGTCCAATATGAACCTAGTAGGTGCTTCATAAACTTGGGTGAGTCTAGATCTAAACAACTCTTTATTCCTAGACAAGATAGAGGCCAGGAATCTATAACCAGCCCAGAGGATTGCCTTTTCTCATAAAGTGTGTTGGATAACACAGTTGCCTGTTCTCATGTGGTCTGACACTCTGTCTTTATTAGTTCCCTCAATCCCTTCATCCATCAGATACACCCATGTTCGAAGTTGAGTACAGAAATGCGTCCAAACCCAAACACTATTTCCCCCTTTTAGCCTAACTCACCAGCAGCTCAGGAGAAGTGAAAGGCCATTTAGTCTCCTGATACTTGTCTTCTCTTCTTTTCATGGTAGCAGCAGATGGCATCACTTCTCTGACTGGTCACAGAAGACCAGCAAAGCAAAGTGTTGTATTCAGCAGCAGCAGCCTTCACATTACTAACCTGTCTGAGTCTTCTGGTACGGGAATAGGAGAGAGATGGGGGATTTAGTGATAAGACTGAGAAGTAAGCAGCAGCTGGTGAAGGGAGCCTGAAAAGCCAGGCAGAGGAATTCAGAGTTTATTTTGAGGGTGGGGGGAAGCCAAGGAAGGACTGTAGAAAGACCTCGATGGCTAGAGAGTAGAGAGCAGATGGAAGGGAGATAACATTCTTGCTCAGGAAACTGATTAGCTGTGATTGCA